TTTGAATAAATCGACGAGATCTAGGGTCTTTTGCCGGGATGCCGAGTCTTGTAAGGGTTCGACTTTGATGGAGGCCCTGGTTGGCACCCAGTTATAAACCTTAATCTATTCAGAGGGTACAGACCCCTCGAATAGATTTCAAACACTGGAATCAACCCTGCCATCATGACACCTTTCCTTCCTGGGTACGTTTTCTTCCCACCTAGCTTAGTCAGCTCTACCTCATCCTCTCTACTCTCCTATGGCTGAGGGCAGTCTGCTCTCTCGTTATAATTTGAAGCCATTACAGAGTTTATTAGTAGTGCCAACGTCCTCTGGTTCCAAAATTTCCTCTCCGAAGCTGTTTTTCCTTCCACAAACAATCTTCTCAGCACATAACTCACAGAATCAGAGCATGTTCAGCTCAAGTTGACATTTTCTCGGCTTCATTCATTGTGTGTCCTACTTTCTGGCTGATATGATTGAGCATTAACTATAATACACCCATCCATGGGCCTGTGTGTCCTCAAAACAGCTCAGGTGAGAGGGAAGTAAGTTTATTCATGTCAGGTGAATAAATCTAATCAGTTGGCGTTACGGTTTATTTGCTTGATTAAATCGCAAGCCAGGGTACCCATTTCAAACTCCGATAAGGGTCAGATTTATTCGTTTATATAGATTTATGTTACGGGAAGTCACCCATTATGCAAGACACTGTAAGGCAAAAACAACGTCAGCCCAACGATCTTCTGACTGCTTTTCAACACAATCATCTCCGACAAGCCCAACGTCATCCAACCCCATCCAACCCAATCCACCCCTTCCACTCCGCTCTTTCAGGGCATGGAAACCTTGCACACTTTGGCGGAGAAACGGCACTCACTGTGCTCATAATTTGCTTGATGGGGGTGGGTCTGGTTTCCTGTGAATACGTGGCTGTGGCTGTGCACAAAACCGACTGCTTCATGACCAGCGTCTTCTCCCACCATGAAGACGTTGTTTCTATCGTCGTGCTGAAATGCGCGAGTTGAGGTAAGCCATGCAAGATGAACTGTAGGATGCACGATCAGGACCTCCAAAGAAAGTCGGTGTAGAGGGGACATACATACGTAAAAGCCAAGAGGTGACCACCAGAAGTGCGTCTCCGTTTGCCTTCGATCCCTAGTCACTTGAGTGTGGTTGACGGGTAGAAAGGTGTTGCACGAGTATGGGCTTCTGACTCGGTTCAAGGCAAAGTTTTCGAGACCCATAAAAACCGACATCTTTGACTAACCGGACGACATAAAGTTATCAGCAAAACGAGGTTGTATAAGCCCGACAGGACACGTACTGCCTGACATTACGCCCTGGAATGAAAGCTCAGACCCCAGTGTCCCTTCAACCCCTTATCCCCCATAAAAGGTCGCACTCACACCAAGTTTCGAGCGCAGGCTAAGCCGATTCGAGTCCCTGGAAAGGCAGATAGTACGCAAAGGGAAGATTGAGCTTGTAGAGGAGGCGCGCGAACGGTAGCTAGATTACAGGCGTAGAGTTGGCGGAATCGATGGTGGTAGCCTCTGCAAGCAGGAAGTGTTGCCCCTCGTCCCCGCTGAGAGGTTTAACACCATCAAGAATAGCCCCCGCGTTGACGTTAGTTCATCATCTGCGGGACGGTATGCTCGTTTGTGTAAACTTGATGCTTCAAAGTTGCCACGTCATTGAACCTGCAAAGCGATAGTGTGATTAGCTCGTCGTTGAAAGGCAGAAACGTTGGAGCCGTACCCAAAGAAACAGGATGTACGCGACGTCTCCCAGCAGTCTAAGTATTGGAGGTGGTCCAAGGCAATTAATGCGCCGTAGGCGGACGTTGAAGGTGTCTTGGTCGACCTTGGGCTCGACCAAAAGAAACGATGGCCACAACATGGCCAAGAACAGCAAACCGGTACCGCGGTTTCTACGGAGTAGCGAACTGCCCACTAGAAATGAAGATATCTGAGCAGGGATTGATCGGCCGGGGGGTTGACGTTCATACCTGCGATGGAACACTGGCCTTCACCCTCCTGCTAAAGTCGTCCTTAGCACATCGTCGTAGGAGCCAGAGCATATCCCTGGCGTGCGTGAATCGAGTCCGAGGGGACGGTACGGTACTAGTGAATGCATTGTTAGCAAACTAGCGCTGAGAGAGGGGTAGAGCGTGGGCGTACCGTACAAATCCGTGACGCAACCTCCCGGACCCGTCCTCAATCCACAGCCTATAATTGAAACGTTGACGGGCAGTGTAATAGATGCTGCTTGAGATTGCGTCATAAAGGTAGAAAGTATGGACGGTGACCGGTATGCATATGCGTCGGCAAGAGACTTGAGCGGCACTGGATGACGGGCGAGACAGGTCGTCAGCGAGACTCAGAGGGCTGGATAAATTTGAGAAACGCCATTGGCTCCGCCTCTCATGAACTCAACGTCACAGAGACACTCACCTCGTTATAACGAGAGGGAAAGACACCTCTTGAGATCCCTCTTATTAGTGTTGGAGCACGATCGTTGACGTTAGATAATCAAATTGTCGTTGATCAGCTGATCAGTCTTCCAGAGTCTTCCTTCGTATCCACATCAGTGCGGGATCACCCAATAAACATATTTGGCTTCGGTGTTGTTCAGTATGCTTGAAGAATGCGCATAATACTTACCCTACCTTATACTTACTCATAGACTTCGAGAAATTTATTGAGATTATAGATTTAACCAAGATTTAACGTTCAGTGAGTTACACATTATCATTTTTAATCTGAAGTGTCTTCCAATGTGCATGTTTAAATCAGCCTTACCCTCGCTCGCCCAAGGTTTCCCGGCTGTCGATCCTTCCCGTTTACAGAGGGTCACATAGTTGCTGGCAAAGGACAGTCAAACACGACGCAGGCTAGAATAGGATAACAACGTACCAAGTGTTCTCGACAACGTAACAAACCTGCGGCGGTCCATCTTCCAAACCAGCCTGGGAGCTGAAGCCACATCGAAATCGATGAGGGCGTATATTAACCGCACCACCCACAAGCACACCCCCTCGTAATCCAACCACCTTCCAGCACCTCAAGTGCCGTCGCCCTATTCGCAGACTTGACAGAAAGACACATCCTGAGGAACTTTGCAGTCGAGGCGAGATCTTTCTCTGTGACGTTCGCACTTTCAGTGAGGAGACTTTCGAGCTTGCCGAGCGTTTCGTGTGCGACTTTGACAGGAGATGCGACGTATGATTCGGCAAAGAGAGGCTTTCCAGTGAGGAGAAGGTATGTCTGGTCAATAGAGCATCATCGATGAACGTGGGTTCCAAAAAGAGAAGGACGATTAGACTCACCGTACATCCGAGCGTCCAGACGTCAGAGCTCAAATCAATTTTGCCCCCTGTGAGGGCTTCCGGTGGTTGAATGTTTTTGGGTGTGTCGAGGGTTATAGCTGTTGTCTGGCGGGCTAACGACGAGTTATTAGCTGATAAGGTCGTGAAGAAACTAGTAGAAAAGACGCATACCATGCGCGAAATTGGCAAGATTGAATATCGTATAGGCAATATCGTCCGCTTTGGATTCCCATGTATAATGGTTCGGAATCGGCTGAGACTTGACGGTAGGATAAGAAACTCCATCGCTTCCTTGAATCTTGACAGACTTGTCGGCTGGTGCTTTTGCGAGGACTTTTCGGACTTGGTCGCCCTGTTGGACAGAGACGAAGAGGAAATTGTCGGGTGTTACAGCTGAAGCGGGAGGAGTACGGATTCATCTCGAATTTTCCATGAGACAAGTAGTTTAGACGTACCACCATGTATGATGTTCTGAGAAGCAAGATTGGCCAGAGTTTCCGAAATATCACCAATGACCTTCTGGACGATATGAACAGGCAGATTCTGTCCATGATACACGTTCCCTTGTCTCAGATCCTCAACAGACGGTCCAAGAAGCCTGTACAACAAACAAAAGTGCTTTCTCCCCCGCTCATTCTTTTCCTCAAACGTTTCAAGCAGCTCGGGTACACCACTTGAAGCAGTGGCTTTCATAGCCTTGAGGACGAAATAACGTTCGTTTTTGGCGTCCGGGTCGGCGGTGGCGGCGGCTGTCAAGATTTTTAGGGCGCAGTGTTGATCGTTCTTGTCGATGACAAGCCAGGTGGACGATCGCGGACCCCACCCGAGCTTGCGGGTTATTGTCCATGTGCCGTCTTTGAGTGTTTGGCCTGGTTGAGCGGAGAAGTAGCCCAGGGGAGAGTCGAGTTGCTCTTCACGGAAGAGAGGCATTGACATTGCGATGGTTGAATGATAGGAGGAGTCACTACATATTTCAGCTTAACAGGAGTTTGAGTCAGTAAGTTTGAGGATTGGCGGGATTTGCCGCACCGCGATGAATGACGTGTCGAAGAATGCGGAAATACTCACTACAGGCAAACTACAGTCTCCAGTGACTCGTTATAATGCATATCAGCCTTGTAGGTCTGGTAAGTTCGATTTACGCGTCCAAGGGGTGCATCAAAGAAGACATGCGCCAAAGATGTGCGTCGTATGTTTGTGTTGACGTCTTTGGCATTAATTATTGGTATCCGATCGGCGATCATTGGGTCTGACCAGCACAACGCGACAATTCTGATTGGTTACGATTAATATAAATTCCAAAGCATTCAACTATCTAAGTCTCAAGCTTTCGAACATGCATGCATCCCTGGCAACTGTCCGCAACAAAAAAATCAAAACACTTTGGTCGAAGGATGCCCTTATATATCCAAGGGGGTGTCGGGATTAAAAAAAGAGACCTAGGGTCGATTTTTTTTCTCAGTGGCGAGAGGTCGACCTACCTACTACGTAATCAGGCACCGGTCTATATATGGTAATAGTGACATCATCACTGTAGATATTTTCGACATAATTTCCCTTCCGGTGCCATTTATTCAGGTTTTGGATTCCCCCTGTACCACAGTTGACTGTTGTCCCAAAATCGGGGCATGTTGTGAATCCTTGTGAATATATTTCAATCCTCTTTAGATATAGTTGAGCTCTATATAGGTGTAAAATGGCAGGCTTTCATTACCTTGCCTTTCAACGCCAATTTTGAGAGAAATGCTGTTATCACACCCACCTTGATCATCATTTTTTGGTAAAATAATGAACAACAAGCTGTTTTGAGTGCTTTATATTGATCTATATACTCCTACAAGCTCATTACGTTGTATGGTCCTCCTCGGAACCTCCCCAACCTCTTTTTTAAATGAAGTTTGGGTGACGTCCATTTTTTTTTTTTCAGGCCTGACGGCTGGACCTACCTACCAGCCTCCGGTCCGGCATTCTAATCCCGACACCCCCTTGTATATATCCTTCGGAAACCCGTCCCAGCGGATTCACTCGTCATGCCTAAAAACAGATGCCAAGTAAGCCTTCAGAAACGAAGCAAACAAGAGCAAAAAAAAGAGAAACTCACGGCTTCTTGTGATCCTTGTCGTGCTTCTTGTGCTTGTCGTCAACCTCAGCATCGTCTCTGGCATGATGCTTAGGGTGTTTCTTGTGCTTGTGGTTGACCTCCGCATCGTCTCTGGCGTGATGCTTATGGTGCTTCTTGTGCTCGACGTCGGCGTCGTCTCTGCCATGGTGCTTATGGTGCTTCTTGTGCTCGACGTCGGCGTCGTCTCTGCCATGCTGCTTATGGCGATGCTAGAACGGATGGTAAGACATTTTTTGTAATTATGATCAGAATGCTCCTTATCACCTCGCGGACTTCATTCACAACGTATGAGGGTGCTCTTGCGGCGAGGTCCCGAGCCTCAGGTACAACGCCTGCGAAGGCGAGTTGAGCAGCGCAGGCAGCAAATGCGATGAGGACGTAGAAGCGAGAGATAGCCATTTCTCAATTGGATGGAGCTCGAGTGAAAACTGAGTTGGAGGGAGATGCACCGTTGAGGATCCCTTTTATACATATTCCAGCGACTATAAAAAGAGAACGATTCTCGCGTGCCATTCCATTGTGTAAACGTCATGCCGCAAACCAAAGAAAGACCACGGCAGAAGGCATTTGGAAGCTCGCCATGGAAAAAGTCATAGTGTTCTACTGGGAGCTGAGGTCATGCGACGAGAAGGAATCATAAAAATAGGTGCGACATACCAAAAATAAACCAATTTCTCTTGTAAACCTTCGATGCTGCGTGTCGTGACGCTGAACGGGACACCGCAGCAACTAAGTGTGGAAATAGAAAAGATGGAAATGATTGAATTCACCGCGTAAGCCTTTGCCTTCGATGATGTGAGCGCTACCAACATCAAGAAGAGGACACCACATCCGTAAAACCAGGCGTCCAAAATCCGAGTGGCCGATGCCGTGTGCTAGGAGTGATCCTTTTCTCGAACTATTATTGTCGAGATCACGCAAATATCGTGTTTCTCTACATCGTTCCGAACATTTTGTCCTCTGCGGACGACATGTAAGTCGTACAACCGAAAGACAAGCAAATTCAGTTTCTCGTCTCGATCATTTTTTTTGACAACGTGTATGTGCTCACATTGAAGTATCGAACACACCGCGGCCGTAAAACCTGATGATAATAATAGAATACGCCTCCGAACTTCTTGCGTTAACGCTTACCTTCTAAAATAGATCACCAAAATTAGGCGAACAAGAATAGATGTACACCAAGAATAGGCCACCTTCCAGAAATAACTGACCTCGCGTCAGCCGTTTACGTTGGCAGATGTGAGTAGTCACCTGCGGTAATGAGGGCCCCGTAACCGTGAGCATCGACGTCAAAGATTGGAGCGGCCTATGTCGGGAGATCCTTGGGTTTGACTTCTTCTTGTCAAGATCGCGCACATATGATGTTTCTGCACATCATGCCACCGAACGATTTCCCCCACGGCAGAAATTTTTGGGAAGCAATACTCGCCGTAGCTTGACTTTACGGAAAGCAATACCCGTACGTTGCTCTAGACTCTTTAGTAGCTAACCTATCGTTAGCTCTTCCGGTGAATTACCTCGTCATTACAAATTCTCTGCAACCACTGGGGCCGAGAGACGAGCAGACATATCAGGGGGCGCGAGGAAGAACGAGACCCTTGAACAAAACCCTTCATATTAGGAATGTGCAGCCAGATGTTCTTGCGGTCTAGCCGAGATCCAGAATGGCCTGACGGTGACTGACAGATCAGAGACGGAATGGAGGTTTCTGGCCCAGCACGTTACTTCTGAGTGTTGGGGGCGCGGGGGTGATATTGCGGTGCTGGAAGCTCGAGAGAGATTGTTCTTGTTAGGTATGGAGTGAAGGAGACGGCGCAGAGGATACTGTGGGGTATTGAGGAGTAGACAAAATTGAATGACCTTCGATCTTTATTATCTAATCTTATCAAAAACACTTCTCCAGACAAACATGACCAATTACGATGGAATTAAATTTATTATTTTCCACCGATGTCAACAAAGGTGCACTCGTCGTCGTCGGCGACTAGCTCTGAGAAAGTATCTGCATGGCTCCCAAATATCCGCCGTAAGCACCCTTTATGAACCACTGATTGACTTTAACCCCAACCTCTTCAGGCCATCGGCACAAGGTTGGCAGTGGCCATTCCCCCATAATGCTTCATAGGCAATGCCGCGCAGGACTTCACTCAGCTCTCAACTCAACTGCACCTCCTCCGCGAATATCACGGACGTCAATATCCTTGGCTCCAGGGCTCTCCACCCAACCACGTCACACGTCCGAAAAAGAAAACAATCCGAGTTAGAGTTCTTGCCTGGCGTTGGTGAACTCATATCAGCGTATCTAAAGCCGATCTCAACTCCTCCTCGACGACGTTCGGGATTGCTACACGTTTAGTCCCCGTTGGGGACGTAACAATTGCGTTGAGTGTAAAGAGCGCGCTTGGGGTTAAGGACTTATGTGACAATCATATCTTCTAGCTATCAGTTATCTCACCTCAACGATGCGGGCACAAGAGTTTGGCGAAAAGATGCGAATGTCGTTCTGGGAGTCCCCGCTTCCGAAAAACTTATTATCATGCATGTGACCACCCGCAACCGACGAAGAACGCCGTGATGCTTATGATGTTGCGCCGTTCGAGGCGGACAAGACTTGGACGTGGGTGGAGGCTGAGGGTGGGTTTCCATTGTGGGCACGGACTGCTTTGCGGGAGGTTGAGGCGGAGGCGAGGGTGGAAAGAGTTCGACGGCAGAGGGATATTTTACGACTACGTGACTGGCCTTTTGCAGACTATGATCCTTGAAGCTTGGAGTTTCATTTTGTTCATCTCCGGAAATGATTGGTGAGGCTACGACTATGTACTTCCAAGGGACATAGCAGAGAAGCCGACGAACCGTGAGTTTTTCTCCTTCCGCAGCTGGCGCGTTACTCAATTTAGACCCAAGAGCGATGAACGGCAAATGCCAAGGAGTCTCAGCTTTCAAGGAGTCCTCCCGCGCCCTCACGGCCTCGTATCCCGAACCGGATCATATTTCCTGTGCTATTTCTTGGTCTTTCTTTGCCGTTCGTTCCTACGTCCATTTTTATCGCAGTGATTACTGCCATCAAGTCAAGCCGCAGTACAAGAGTTGGGAGGTACCACGCCATTGTGCGACATCACGCATAGTGAAAAAAGAAAAATTTGGTTTTGCGCAGTAAAATTTCGATGCAGTGCTGGGTACGACGTTGAGGGTATAAAGGCGTTGTTGAGGTCGGTCTGCCGTTCATCACCTCAATTACACTGAAAGCTCAGTTTCATTCTCAAATCTCAGTCAAATGGCCATTACTCGCTTCTTCACTCTCATCGCTTTCTCTATTGGCGCTGCTCAACTTGCTTGTGCAGCCGTTATTCCTACAGCTGTCTTTTCCGAGAGTCCTACAAATTGCCCGACGTCATTCTCTAAACCATCCGGGGACGCGCTAGCACCGACTGATATTCCACAAGACGGGTTCAATATTTCTGCGGGACCCTTGGGGTGTCCGCCCTCTTTCTCCGCGAGTGGTCTACCGGATGCGGTACGAGCATCTTCAATGGAGTGAACAGAAAACTTAACTCCTTCATAGCTCCCTTCCGGTTTCCCACCTGCTGAATCCGCTGATGGGTCAGCGCCGACCGACATACCAGGGGATGGTTTCAAGAAATCTGGAGTGCCCTCCCAATCTGACACTCTACCAACGGTACGCAAAGCCTTTGTCCAACCGACACATTCTTACCTGTTTTCCCAGAACACGGCGTCTTACCCCTCTGGAGCATCCCCCGATGGCTCAGCGCCAACACAGCTCCCCAGGGGATACTTAGGATCCCTTTCTCAATTGCCCGACAGCCCTTCGAGCGCATCGGATGGCGCGACGCCGACGGATACCCCACAAAATGGATCTATGCCATCTGGATCTGGTAACGCTCCGCCTTCATTCTCTCAAGGTGGTGATCCATCAGCGGTATGCAGGCATGATTTTGTAAACTTCGATACATCTCAAATATGTTTCTAGTTCTCATCTTACTTACCTTCCGCTGCGCCCAGTGATGGCGCGGTACCCAGTGACTTACCAACCTACGACCTCTCCTCCGGGTCGCTTCCACAAGGGGTAAAGAAGGTTTTTCACTCCCTGACGAGTGATTCTGATACCGATTTTTTAGTGCCCAACTGCCTTTCCCTCCTCTGTCTTCCCCTCTGGGGGCCCAGCTCCAACTGATGCCGCGTAATTCCCATTTCTGTTATCCGCAGTAACCCTTGGACGTTATGGACGCCATGGACATATTTGTGTTTACGATTTTGACAACTTGTACGATTAACCACTGTATCTTTACTTCATATACTGTACCTTCGGACGCTCTCGCTTCATTCTCTGTATACTATTCAGATGTCGTACCAGCTGTATTCGATCCCAAGTTCGGATACCTGTTGTATCAATCAATGAGACAATTATTTTGTCTAGACGTATCCTCTCGACTCAGTGTGATTCTTCTCGATTTGACGTAGACCCCACATATTTTCTTGAATGGAAGACTCGCTTCATCTGATAAGTTTGAGATGGAGAGTATTGAGAGTCAAAGGAAATGGAGGAAATCCCGAGAAGATTTCGACCAGTGCCACTATGTGCGAGTCGAATTTACTCCGAAATGAATGATTCAATCGCACATCTAGGGTCATAAGACATCAACAGGCGTTTTCACTAAGCAACAGTTGCTACTTCTGAGAATGTGTACTGGAGTACATAGAGAATGTGGAACGGTTAAAAGCGGAGACAAATAGGAAGTTGAAATTTTGTGAGATGGTTTGTGCGCGGTACTGGCTATAAATAAATTATCGATCGGGCTATTGTTAGGTACACAAGGGGCAAACAGCTTTCGTCGCCAGGTAAAGAGGTGGTAAACAGTAGATAACTATGTTAAATCGTTTATTCCACACTTGCAGAAAAAATGAGCAGTTAGATAAAATTATAATTTTCTTGCTTCAGAAATGAGTGATAAAAGTAAAATGTTGTTGCTGGAGTAGGAAGATGAGGGTTAGCCACAGCAAAAATGATGAGGCAACAATTTAATGACATTGAAAGCTCATTCTGACATGCGGGAACAGGAACAAAGAATTTACATATTTGCCAAGCAACGAGGTGATCTGGCCCGCATATAGTGATGGGCAGGGGTCAGGCTGGGGTTTGGTGAGTTTTCGGCGGGTTTTGACTTGATAGGC